CTTAGCCGGGCACGCCGTCCGGCCCCGGTGCACGGGGTCTACCTTTAAGGCGGGCGAAGGCCTGAGCCATCTCCTTCCCTGAGACGCCCAGTTCCTCGACCCATCCCTCCGGTGGACCCGCCCTCTCCGGGATTTCTCTATCCCTTATAAGGAAGAGGGCGGCCACCACGTCTTCGAGGAACGGGACGTCCAGGGTCTCCACGATTGGGGGGGCCCAGGGTCGCAACTTCTTTGTTACGATCCTGTAGGGCCTCCCCCACGGATCCCTGTCCAGGGAGGATACCAGCTCCTTCTAGGCATTGGCCTTCGCCCGCCTTATGGCAACGCGGAGGGCACCGCGCATAGCGGAGTCCCTCTAAGGCCCTTGCCAACTTCGCGTCGATGCCCCGCCGCCTGGCGCGTGTGTACTTGCGCCGGGCGGCCACGGTGACCCTGCGGAGCTCTGCTAGCTCCTTTGACCACCAGTAGGCCGCCCTTCTGCTCATAGGGCGGGAGCGGGGCATCGACGCGTCGCACGCGCGCGACATAACGTCCCCGAGCCAGTCCACTTCTTCCTCCACCGTGGCGTCTGGCCGACGTTCCGGCCAGGTGGAGGAGAGCAGACTGACTTCGAGGGCGTCGGGGTCCAATTTCTTGAGGGCCCATCGACGTTCCTCTCTTTGGCGGCGGTGCCTGATTTGCACCTCCGTGGGCGTGGGCACCAGCTCCATTCTGATGATCCGATGATCAGATTGTTCACTTAAGGAGCTGGTGTCCACGTGCCAACCCTTGACTCGTTGAGCCGCCACGGGGGTCGCCCATGTCAGATCTATTATGGACTCTCCCCGCGGCCCCACGAAGGTGCTGACTCGGCCCTGGTTCAAGAGTACCAGGCTGAATCCCGCCGCCCACTGCAGGGTGCTAACGCCCTTGGAGTCTGTGGAAGGGGAACCCCACTCTGTAGAGTGGGCGTTAAAGTCCCCTCCCACGATGACTGGTCTGGGGGAGCGACGATGGATTTGCTCCCCCAGGGACTCCAGGGCTTCCTCGTACTCCCTCCTGCCGAGGCGAGGAGGGAAATAGCACCCTGCGATGTCAATGGACCCCCACTTCACGAGGAGGAACCCCTCCCCCACCGATATGGAAGTCATCGGCGGGGTGTCGCGCGAGTGCTGGCAGGCCATCGCCACCCATCCCAGAGAATCCCCAGCCCAGTTGGGGTGGTTCTCCGGGATGTTGTATGGGTCAGCGGCGATGGCCAGCCCTCTTCCCCACTCGGCGAGGCACTGCGCCATCATGGCCTGCGCCCCCGCCG